AAAATTATTGTAAGATTAAAAATAAACGAATATAATTATACAGATAATAAAATTAAATTGCGCTAGTTGTATACTTAAAAATAAAACGTTTGTGAATTAACAATAAAGCCAAAAGAAAAAAATATTTATTAAATAATTTTGCAAAAAAGTTTTTAATACTTAAAGAGATAATTGGTAGCGATTAAACAAATATTTATTCCAATTTCAAAATATTTAAAGCGATTATATATGCTAGAAGATAATAATAAAAAAAAAAGCAACTATACATATTCCTAATAGCAATAGCATTTTTTTGCAATTATTCTGCTACAGTATAAACAATGAACGCTAACTAATTATTCATCAGCCCATTTTTTAACCCACTTTCTAGCTTTTTCCAAATTTTCATTAACCTTTTGTTCATCATCACCAACTTCTTTTTTCAAAGCCTTCTTAGCTTTTCCGTAACACATTTCGCATTCATCTTTAAAAGTTTCAAACATAATAATTTCTAAATATGCCATCGCCAATGCTAAACATAATACTTTCTCATTTTTAATTCCAATAAATTCAAAATCTTTAAAATTATTTTTATCAAACCAAGAATAAAATTTAGTAGATGGTAAAAATGAACCATCAAACGATTGAAGATCAAGAAATTTATAAAGAGTTTCAATCTTTGGAGATTTTGATTTTATAGTAATAGTTGATAAATCTGTCGCAACTTGATCAATCTCATCTGATTGATTTGCTTCTGGAGCAAGTCCTGCGGCTCCTATCATAGAAGTTTGAATTGCTGCACAAAAAAAGGCACGAGAAGCAGGAATAGGTGCATCTGTTAATAATATATAGAATTATTGCCCAATTACGGAAATATGAACTAAATTAATGTTAAAATATACTTACAACAACGCATAGCAACAAGAGAAGGTGCATAGACTGGAACGATTCTTCGAGCTGGAGGGCTTTTGACTTCAGCCACTAACTTATTGTCTCTTTCATCAATTGCAAGAAAACTAATTATATCGAAAAAATAGTTGTAGTCTATGTTAATCATAGCGTAATGCGTTAAAAAAAGACTCATAAAAACAAAAAATTTACCTTGTATATTTGGAAGCTAAGCTATATGTTACACCTAAATTTGTAACTTGTTCACGAATAAGTGAGTTTGGAATAGTTTTCCCACTATTTTTTGGATGCTTATGAATAAATGAAGATCCTTCTTCAAGATCTTGAATAAGCTTTCTAGCCGCAAGTGTATGAATTTTTGATCCTTGTAAAGCTACAGGATCTAATGAAACAGAAAGCTTTATAGGGCCTTCAGTAGAGATTCCACTCAATGTAATTTCTTTACATGGTTCAATTCCGTTTTCTAAAATACAATAAACTATAAATCGAGTACCAGGATAAATTGGTGGAATTAAGTATGGTGCTTGTTGAATTTTGATATTTGTAAAGATTTTTTGATCAGTCGTTGGAGGTGTAGTATTATCGCTAAAGAAACTAATAATTGGCTTATCAACAGGATTTGTTTCCGTTGGTAAATTATCATCAAGGATCTGATTTGTCCAAGTAATATTATAATCTTTAATAGGAGGTTTAATAGCATTTTTTAACATTCCAAGAATTTTTTTATCCATTCGTTCATTATTTGTAACAAATTGTGCATATCCTTTACCAGCACGTGAAACAGATTCAACTAAATTATGAGAAACTGAATCACCAATTCCAATTGAAAATAACCTTAAATCATCATTTTTCTTTTCTTCGCTAGATTTAATAAGTTCTACAATTTGATCAACATTATAAACTTGACCATCAGTAAGAAGGAAAATAGAAGTTGGCATATCATTCTTTGAATTTTCGAAGACCCATTTTAAAGGATTATAAATTTCGGTTCCTCCATAATTTGCATTCATTTCTTGAGCATGTTTGAGAGCTTTTAAAAAACTTTCTTCAGAATAAGGTTGACTTGTTTTAAATAAAGAATCAAAATTGGATCCGAATGAAACCACATTAAAACAACAATTTTCGGGTAATGAACGAAGCAACAATTGGAGTGCTTCAGATGCTTTCTTGATAGGTCCACCTTGCATTGAGCCAGATCTATTATTATAAAATAAAATTCATTAATATTATTAATATTATTAATATTATAATATGATAATATGACAATATGACACTAATTATATGTTTTTTAACTTTACCTATCAATTATAAAAATTAATTCGGGCGTTATTTCTTTAATAGAAAACTTTGGTACTAAAGTTAACATAATGCAATTGGTTTCCGTTTTAGGGTTGTGTTCAATAAAGGCTCTGGAGTTAAATAAAAAAAAAAGTATAATTAATTATTAATTAAGAGAGATATTGTAAATATATATTTAAAGTATTACCTTGGCTGATTGAGACCCGAACTTTTGACAACAAGTATAAAGTCTTTTTCCAAATAAGTAATTTGTTCAGCTAGAGTAATTTGCGAAACATTTGGATTGCCATCAATATTTAACTCGGATGAAATATGATGAGATGGTGATTCGATGCTTTGAATAGCAGAAGTCATTCTGCACATAATAGCAAGCTTTAAATAGTAATCAGTCTTGTTGGAATAAGATACTACATCAGGAACAAGTTTCTTTCCATCATTTGAAGTAGAATATTCGGATGAACCATATCGTGGAGCAATTGCGGTAGGAAAAACAAATCGAATACTTTCAGTATCAGCATCATGTTTTAGTTCGGTTACATAGGTAATTCTGATAACAACAGTTTGACCTGCTGTGATATTACCAATGGAGCATTGGAAAATATCTGCGAGTTGTTCTTCGAGCAGATAAGCCCCATGGCCTTGCTGTGTAAACAAACAAATAATATGTTTACTGTATGTACATATGATAAAACGAAAAATAATAATTTAATTATAATTACTTGAATAGCCTCATCGTATTCTTTTGCAGCTTCCTTTGCTTCTTTAACTATTCCTTTAACTTTTTTCTTTCCATCAATTTCGGCTTCAAATCCACATACCGCTGCAGCCTCATGAAGTGGAAATTTATAAATTGCTTCAATCGTATTTTGTTCAACGTTTTTATAGGTCTGACAAACCGTTGCTAAATTGGACAAGATTATTAGTTATATGAAGTATGATACGTAAAACTATATTAATATTTAATTATGTAAATTAATTACTTTCAGCTATCATATCAACGACTAATTTTAAATTTAAAAAAGACGTTAATGATGAGAAAAAATTATTTAAATAAAAACATCGATATGAGACATTTTGAAAACTTTACTATTCGCTTCAACCGAAACATTTTGCAAAGGAACAGGTTTTTCACGATCTTCTATAATACAAATAAGCCCGTATAATTGCATCTTTCGAAAAGCAAGACTTTTAAAAATTGTATTAAGCACGTATGTACATAAAATTAGCCGTTTTTATAGTAAATTTAAAACTACTACAAATAAAAAATTATGACATCATTGTTACATAATGCTGGTTTTATTTTAACACGAATGGAAGTTTACAGTAAGTGAAAAGTGTAAAGGAGTGCCTAAATTCGTTAATATATGTCTTTTAATGACACATTCGTATTGTAAAAAAAGGCGCTATTAAACTGATTAAATATACAGGTTATTTAACATTGCCACCGGCAATTAATATCAGAAAAAAATGCAGAAATAAGAAAATTTTTTTTATTATATGTTACTAATTATTAATTATAATTTAGAAACTCCCTGGATAGAAACCTTCCTATTTTGAAATTGTTCGTTCGTATAAATATATTAAATACTGAAATAACTTGGCAGAAAGTATTATGCTCTATTAATGCAAATAAAAACAACCTCCCAAATCTTTCGGTGATATGCGGTATTTTATATTTCCTTTTTTTTTCATATTTTTTCTTGGGCAAGTTTTTTGTTTATCAATTAATCAACTTAAAAAACAAAAGCAATCGTCACATGTTTAATGCACATGTAAAATGAATTCACTTTTTTTTATGCGCTACAAAGTCTTGAATCAAGATGGACGAACATGTGACACTACATATAATAATACAGTATCAGTTAATAATGCGAATTCTGAGAGTATAGCTTGTCGGGATGACAGTTACATTGAAATATTTCTTGTCTAGACGACAGTCGTATGAGTATTATATTTATGTAGTTTATCGCATGATGGTCACATTAGACAGTCACGTAAGCATTCTAGAATTGCGGGTTGAATTCAAGGTAATGTAACTGTATACTAAAGAAGACTGTGTAATTCTTGGTACCTGAAGAGGTAATATTCCGGCTGGATTTTCAAGAAACCAATGAAAGACAAAAATCATACATATACGTACTATTCTTCGTAGAATGGGAATAATAATAACGTAGACTCGGATCTACACAGCCACCTTTATTGTCATCTAATTTCTGATTAATCATGTGGCAGTGTAAGAACGTGAAATTATGCACTTCAAAATTGCATTTTTATTTTTATTAACATCCTTATACAGCAACCTCAAGTTTATAAAGCATGGTTTTACTAAATTTGAACTTACCGCTCAGATTAGCTACGTAATACTATAACAAAAAATTCTTAAAAGAGAAAATTTCGCTGTATCACAAACTTGAAAACGTTATTCTCTCTCTTGCTCTTGCAATAAAAAAAAAAAAAAGTTACGAATATATATATTTTTATTTTTGTGTGAAATTGTGTGAAAATTGAGTGGATATTATACCTGTTTTTATTATTTTTCTTTTCATCAATTTTTTCGGATTTTTCGGATTTTGCTTTTCTGATGAATTGATAATCTAATCGATAGATTGTGATTCTCTAAGAAGACAATTATTTTGATTAACAAATTTATAGTTAGTACTGTAGTAACAGATCAAATTTTATTTTATTTATTTATTTTATTTTATTTTTTAATATTTTCATTTTTTTCAAATGTTACTGATCAAATACTTGGTTTTTTTTTTATGAAAATAATATATAGTTATTGGATGCGAAGCAGCCAATAACGAGAATTATTTGTAAAATAATTCATAGGAGTTATTGGCTAGCGTAGCATTCAATAACGGTTTTATCCGATGGTTTACGACGATTGTGCTTCTAAATGACTCGAGTTTTGGTAGTGATTACATAAACTGCCAAATAACAAAGTTATTTGGCAGATGACGTATCACTGCCAAATAACTCAAGTTATTTTGGCAGCACTATCATAGTAAATGTCGGATAATGCTCTTTATATAATGAGTAATGATAAATTTTGAAATCAGACCAATGAAGTTATGTAAATTATAATTTTGTTTATTTAGCAATAATACGTACATCCACTAATGCTAAAGAAAGATTTCCATTGCTAACGTAAAAGATTACGTCACGAAACTAGTTTTCAACACCCGGAAAATGTGTACCGGGTTGGGTTCGAAAATGTCTTTTTTTTTATTTTTTTTATTTTTTTTTTCCTTTTTACTAAGATTTTATTTTTCAAAATAAACTTGAATTTCGACATTATAATAGTTAACCATTTTGGTTTGTGTTGTGGCGTTCTTTGATAAACTATTCTTTTTGCAGTTAATCATTCTTTACGCCCTTCATTTCAGACTGATCGATATTTTCTTTCTGAATATTCGTTAACTGTGATGAAATTTGGTGAAATAGATATTTCTATCGACAGAAATTCTGTCCTTCTTGAAAATATCCAATGCGACAAAAAGTTGGTTATAATTCTTGTTACTATTTTCAAAAGATAGTATATACTTATCAATCTTCGTTGCTACATAGTTATTAAATAAATTCTAAATTATTATTAATTAAAAAATTTAAAATACAAACCTAATTTTAATATCTATATTAGACGACCAACCATTGCTTATTTTCACATTTGGCAATTATAGTTCAATTTGTGACTAATAAGCGACAAAAGTATTTGCAGGTACTAGTTTTAAAAAGTAATTAACGTTTAACGTTAAAAAACATATCTATAGTACAAAATTACAATAAATGATTTATTGTTAGATAAAAAATTTCCTTGTTAGAACGTCAAAATTAAAATTAGAAAAAAAAGCTGCTGAGGCTATCTAATTATAAAACCAGCAATTTAAAAGAAAGTTTGAGTTTGTAAAGTTTTAGATAGTTAAATTTTTTATTTTAATAAATATGCTTAACGTCGTTAGTTATTTTTATGTTTATAAAACTAATAGTACTACAAGAGAAAATCAGATCTCATTTACAATGGAGTCTAGCAACTTGCAGAGTTGAGTACGATAATAATTTTATGCTTTTGTGAGCTGAGTGTGATTATCTACTTAATCTATATTAAATTAACTATAAATAAATTTCTCTTATACAATAATACATTTAATTTATAAAATTGATTAAAAACATGAAACAACTAATCGTAACTAATTTATAATGATGGGTCGGTCTTCAGAAAACCAACATTGGTCGAAATTAAATTCAACGTGTTATCGACATTCGACACGTTGAATTTTTTTTTGTTCGGTACAGTAACGTACCAAATACCAAATAATTACTATCCTCAATATATAACAATTAGTCTAGGTTCAAATTATGGTTCTAACTGATAAAAAAATCACCAGTTTTTTTTTTAAAACAAAATAATTTCAAAATAACAAACCGAAGATTTTTTAAATTAAAATTTTAATTCTCAATATAATATTTCGTGTTCGCTTTTATTTGTAATATTTTTTGAGGAGGTCTTTTGGTTAGGTTAAATTTTGTAGGATACCAACATTATGTAAAATCAAAAGGATAAATTTGAGCATCACGTTTATGTTTATTCGATTGGGCATTTAACCTTTCGACAATTTCAACTTTAATTAATTTAAAGGTATTAAGAAACGAATATTAAGGCTTTGGTTTTCATGTTAACCTTGAAAGGGAATAAATCATATTTCTTGTATGTTTTTCATATTTAAAAAAATGTCAAAACTAAACATTCGAACCACGAAAAAAAAACCAATAAAAGCCATTAAACTTCTTTTTTTTTTTTTTAACAAAAACTTTTTTTATTTTCAAAAGTACTTTAATTAAATTTGACGTATATTAATCAATTATTTGAAAGCGATGTCTAACATCGATATATCATGAAATTATTGGGTTCGATAGCATACTGTGAACTGCGCATTATTATGTGGACTCAATTGTGAAAAATGCTACAGTGTATATTATAAAATTACATGTCGATATACATATCTGGTTGAATACAGAAATATAAAACTTTCAAACTACTGTATCTTCATGGCAAATAGATGAAAAATTTTAGAAGGCTTATCAGTTCGAAAAAAATTGCCAAACACTTAAAGTCCTCTATGAGTCGGGTTCACAAGCGTTTTCAAAGATATTGAAAAACTTCCATCACTCAAGAAAACCACGTTCACTAAACACGAACGATATTAAATATTTTAAAATCTTAACAAAAGAAAACCTGGAACTTTGGTTTGGATATAAAATTCGGCGCATAACAATTTTGATAAAATTATATGAAAATATTTTTTATATACCGATCATACCGAAATCAATAACTTATCCGGATCGGCCGAAGGCAAATTTTGGAATTGTTTACGTATTACTGCGGTTTGTAACCTCTATGATTAACCTTTTTTTTTTATGATTAAATAATTGTGATTGCTAAAGCTGCCAATTTATCATAAATCCGAGCTTGACACAAACCCGGATTCATGATAATTGATTGGCTTTAGTAATCGCGATCGCAATCACAAACATTTAATCAAAAAAAAAAAGCTTCGAATGCACTAAAAAAAAAAATATTTGTAATACGTACGTTATTCGTTTTAAGCTAAAATTAACTAAACTCAAACACTACAATCAATAATCCACTATCTAAAGGCCCTAAAAACTTCGATTTGGCAGGCAGAAGGAGGCGTGGAAAGACTTGGTCTGAGTTTTCGAAGCTCTTCGGGTCTTACTGCGGCGATTTTGGCGGTTAAGTTGAGTATACCTTGGAATTATACTCTTAATATCGATTAATATGCTTGGGCCGGAAGAGAATTATGACCTTTTCTTCTAGCTAGAGTTTGGTGGTTTTCAGGCTTCGATACAATCGTTAAGATTCTTAACGATTGTCACGTGAGTCACGTGGATATTACTTGCTTGACTGAGATTATTGCGTCACGAGTATCGTAGATCAGAGGCTTAATTACAATTCCAGTATTGACGTCACGGGTAAGTAATCGGTAGATCGGAAGAGGTTCTTATTTAGCGAAGATCGATTTATCTAATTGTTACCCTAATTAGAGATAACAATAGATTACGGGTATTGTAAGTATATACAAGTATACGTGTAAAGGGTTTTAAGGATTATAGATTCTTTCTTTGCTTTCTCTAAGTGATCGAAATATCTGGGGATTTTTAATTAACCAGGGAACTCAGGATCGACACTTCTACTCTAATTTCGAAGGTCTAGTCTTACTGGGAACTGATAACGAATTGCAAGCTTATCGATAATTCCGGGACAGGAAAATAGAGTTTTCGGGACGAATTTATTAGGAACAAGGGAAAATATAAGTAACTACTGGAGTACTTCTACTAATTATGATTTCGAAGTATTACTCAACTGAGTTCTGTTTTATTTCAGGCAAAAGGAGCTTCGCTTATATACTTTTTTACATGTTCAATAAATACAGGTATTATTTACACTAAAAGAACTAAAGGTCATATAGGCCTTTAACGGCATTTATGACCTAAATGCCCGAAAAGGAACAAATGTACTTAATGAAATATATGACATTACTGCCATATATGGCACATCGGCCAATAATGGTACAAATTGCATCGGGGACTAATAATTTGTTATTACTACTTCTAGAAACTTTCCTACTCAGTTGAGTTTTACTGCTATATACATAACTAATTCTCATATATAATAGTATAAGATAAGATAAAATAATAAAAAAAAAGAAAACTGGGGTACCGGGAACCCCTCACAACGTACTAGTATGCAAAATTTTACTCAATTTCATAAATACAGCTATTATTTTATCATTTCGTGTAACAATTTACTATGTATCGTTTTGATTGACGATATTAGTATACAGTATACCCTGTCAAAACCGGTATACATGGTAGACAAATTTTTACATAATAATAAGCTTTAAAAAAAAAGTTTAAACCAATTTTTCATCGATTTTGAACATTCAGGTTATAATTATTTACTTTTAAAGGATAAATTTTCCTATCTTGTGATTTTTACATCATCTCTTTAATTATTTATATATATATATACTGTACAGAAAATACAATATAATCAAAAATGATCATTCACATTCAAAAATTAATTATTCTTTCTTGAACAATCTCTTCAAAAATTGGTATTCTTACAATAATTTCATTGCAAAAAACTTTATCATCAATACTTCAATAACATTATTCAGATTCTTTTTGTAAGCAAGCTGCGAATGGCATGAAGTAATTGTACCTAACTTATGAAGAAAAGGAAAATATTCCTAAGAACAATTAAACAAACAGAAACATTAATTTTCGACAAAAATAACACCCTCATATCATTAAATATTTTTGATTACCTGCAAGAATCCCGGAAGGGAACCTCCTGGGATGAGAAATATCCTACAGCAAAAAAGCAGGAGTCTCATAACTTCCAATGCGAAGTGGGTATATTCCCTCTTCGCAAATCCTAAAAAATTTAGGAATGCCATCTATTATGAATTTTTATTAAATATTTTGAAATATCTAAAAGTATTTTAAATTTAATTTTTAAAAAAAAGCCGTGATGAGGGAATCAATTAAAATCGTAGAAGCGGTTGTAAATGAGAAATTAGAAATTCCTAAAAAATTTAGATTATGAAGAATAAAGGGAAGAGGCTCTTTGAAAAAAGAAAAGAAGCTCTTTTCAAAATCATGATGCTAAGATAAACTGAGTTACACGAAAGAGTGACTTTTGTGAACCAGGAAATCTAGGAGGATTGTTCAAATATGGCGAAAAAAAGGAATACGGCGAATAGTAATAATTACATTAATAAGGATAATTCTAGTTATAAGATGTATTCTGCATGTAAAAATAGATAGCGAATTAATTATAAATAAAGGCCTTTTGGCCCTTGGGAATAATAACTCCCGCCTTTGCATTATTAACAATTCATATTCAAGTATCAAAAATATGACATACAATTCTACCTCTAAATATTTCGGTATTTAAAGAACTAATAACCTTTTTCTTTGCGAAGTACAAAGTTTGAAAAGTTATTTAAAAAGCTTTTGGCGGATTAACTAAATCTCCTAGAAAATAGCTCGTTTTAAATTGATATTTAAGGTGAACTGTATCATATAAATTCATGTTTTGTTGCATAATTATTAAGACAAATTTATATAAGTTTGAAGTAGAATCAGTAATAAAAAAAAATATATTCCTTGTTTGATTTTCTTTTCTTTTTTTTTTAGCACGTCTGAAATCTGTGCCAGGTTATGTCGATCACCGAATCGAAAAAGCATTAAGCACAAATTTAATTTACTTTATACGTACAGTATAAAGTAAATTAAATTAAATCTGTGCTTAATGCTTTTTCGATTCGGTGATCGACATAACCTGGCGTGCTTTTTTTTAGCGTTATGCGCAAACAAAGATATAATATATATATATATATATTCTTTTTTTTTAGGTTATCCGAAACAAAGATATAAAATAATAAATAAATAAAAATGCAAAGTTTATTATTGTTTCAGAATCGAATTTTGTTCGACTAAATCAGGGTTATCACATGATCATCCGGAGCACAACCTTCTGTACTGTACACATTTATACGTATACGCTATATGCTAAAAATATGCACTAGTATAATTTAGGATAAATTTCTAATTAGTAGATTAAGTTGTATAACCACTGCAATATAATAAATATACAACATCAGTATGATGCAATGATTTTTTTTTTTTTTTCGTAAAACAAAAAATAGACTTAACGGAAGAACGATTAGTAGAAGATATGACTCAACTGAATTTTAATAATTGTCAAAAGTTAGCAAATATGAATAATCCAGATGGAATATACGGCCTTGGATATTGTTATGAATATGGGATTGGTGTTAAAAAGGATGAAGGCAAGGCATTCATTCATTATAAAAAATCAGCAGACATGAATAACTCGGATGGAATGTATCAAGTTGGATATTGTTATTATTTAGGAATTGGGGTAAAAAAGAATAGACGTAAAGCATTTGAGCATTACCAAAAATCTGCTAAAATGGATAATATCAATGGAATCTATAAAACTGTTATTTGTTATTTTTATGGAATTGGCGTGAAAATGGATTTTAGTAAACATCTGGAATGGATTAAAAAGTTAGCTAATTTTTAATTTTATGAGTTTTTTTTAGGAATGAATATTTCTACACCCCTTTTTTTGATATATCCACACCCATGCTGATTGTTAGGTGGTTGTCGAGATATCTTTAATCAAGGTTTCAAAAAATTTTCAAACATCTACCAAAATATAAATTTTGACTAAATTTTTCATGACTTTGATAGAAAATATCTTGAATATCTTGACAATACCCTAATAAAATTTGAGAACCTTGTTTTTTGGGTTATTTTGTTGAATTCTACGGGTCAATCGAATTCAAATAAAGAAATATTCAAATTTTGTTAAGTGATGCCAAGATATTTTGTTCAAATTTTACATGAGGTTGAAAATATCAAATAAGGGGTTTGAAATGTCCTCTCTTTTTTTTTATTTTAAAAATTGAAATATCTTATATAATTTTAATTATCCAATTATCAGGGAGTAAGCATCTGTTATGCTATTGGCAGTCTGTTTTTAAATCTAAAAATATATATTTATTATTTTTATTTTGATTTAGCCCGTGAGTATAAAGATCATTATAATTAAAAATAGCAAGAAATTCACAAATTAAGAACATAAATATTAATATCTTCAATTATTTAATTCACATTAATTTAGCATGTGAGTATAAAGAACATTAATTAATTGTTAAAAATAAATCAGCAAAATCAATTTCAAAAATCAAGAATATAAATAAATACTTATTTACCATCATGTAACACCTTCAAATCATTTTATTCACATCAATTAGTCGGTGAGTATAAAGATCATAAGAATTAAAATCAGCAAAAACAAGTTAACTAATCAAGAACATATATACTAATAACCACTATGTAATACCCTTCAATTCAATTCATACGCATTAATCATTTTTATTTAGTGAGTGAGTAAAAGATTATTCATTAATCAATCAATGGAATTAAAATCAAGAACGTAGACACTTATTTACAAATTATTTTGTTCGCATTAATCACTCCATTAGCACGTGAGTATAAAGATCAATTATTGATCATTGAAACTAAATCTGCAAGTTCACAAACCGAGACATAATGCAAATATTTATTTACCATAACATAATATCTTCCATTCGCACTAATCATTCCATTTTAGTATGTAAGTATAAAGATCATTTGCTAATCAGGAATTAAAATTAGTTATGCAGTTCACAAATCAAGAACAAATACTTACCATTACATAATATCTTTTCAAATCATTTCATCAGCCAGTGAGTATAAAGATCGTTTGAATTAAATTAGCAAAACAAGTTCACAAATCAACCATTATATAAATCATTTCATGCGTATTAATTATTTTCATTCAGCGAGTGAGTATAAAGATCATTTATTAATCATCGGGAGTAAAACGGCAAAACGAGTTTACATATTAAGAACAAACACATATTTAACATTACGTAATACTCATCAAATCATTCCATTACATTAATTTAGTGAGTGAGTATAAAGATCATTTATCAATTATTGAAATTAAAAATCAGCAAAGCAAGTTCACGAGCCATGAACATAAATACTCATTTACTATTATGTACTGTAATACCCTTAAAATCACAATCATTTCATCCAGCACGTAAGATAAAGATTATTTATTAATTATCGGTGTTAACAAATCATGAACATGAATACTTATTTATCATTATGTATACACTTCAAATCATTTAATTCGTATTAATTTAGTCGGTGAGTATAGAGTTCATTTATTGATCATTAGAATTAAAATTCAAAACAAGCTCTATCAAAGAATATGAATACTTATTTGCTGTTATGAAACACCTCCAAATTTTATTCGCATTAATTTAGTTTGTAAGTACAAAGACCACTTATTAATTATGGGAATTAAAGTCAGCAAAACAAGTTCACAAGAATATAACTACTTATTTGACATTAAATAAATCATCTCATTCACATTAATTTAGTTAGTGAGTATAAAGGTCATTTATTAATCATTGAAATTAATAATGCACATAAATACTTATTTATCATTTTCAAATTATTTATTCGCATTAATCACATTTAGCCCGTGAGTAAAGATAATTTATTAACAAAGCAAGCTCATAAATAAAGAAATAAATACTTATTTAACATTATATAATATTCTTCAAATAATTTCATTCTCATCAATTCATTTAGTGAGTGAGTATAAAAGTTATTTATTAACCATTGGATTTAAAATCAACACTTTATTTACCATTACTTCAAATAATTTTATTCTCAATTCATTTAGTGAGTGAGTATATTAATCATTGAATTTAAAATCAACAAAACAAGTTTACAAATTATGAACAAAAATACTTATCTGTCCTTATGTATTACCTTTCAAATCATTCCATTAGTTTGTGAGTATAAAGATTATTTATTAATCATTGGAATTAAAATCTGCAAAAAGTTACAAATCAGAGATATATCCACATACTTATTTACCATTACGTAATACCCCTTAAATCATCTCATTCGCATTAATTTAGTATGTGAGTATATCATTTAGGCCGTTCAAAGTTGATTATTAGTTTAACATCAATATTTTTGGCTCAGGCATGAGGGGGGAGGGGGAATTTAAACAAACACATATTCCAAAAATATTTGATCAAATCTTTTTGGTCAACCTTAAACACATGTTTATGCTGTGCTGTGATTGGGTTGTTTAATTTCCGGGGGATAGTTAATCGAAAGGGAGATGACGTTTATCTAATAATCAACTTTGAACAGCCTTATTAATTACTAGAATTAAAATAGCAAATCAGGTACAAATCAAGTACACAAACACTTACTTTACCTTATGTAATACGCACCCTTTAAATCATTTCATTCACATTAATTTAGCCGGTGAGTATAAAGATCATTTATTGAAATTAAACTAGTAAACGATTTACAAATCATAAACATAAATACTTATTTACCATTATGCAATACTCTTCAAAACATTTCATTCG